ATTCTTTTTATGTGTGTACCGTCAAATTGGATCTGACTGGTACAGGAGGTGATTGTTCCTCCTTCTTCAGCAGAGCATCTGGTGGCTTTGAACCGTGCACCTCTGGGATTGCAGTACAGTTTCCTACCACTAGGCCACCAGAGCTCGCCATAATTAAAGTACTTTAATAGCATATCAAAGAGTGAGTCCAGTTCCTCGAGTCCTAGTCACGTGAGAAGGGGGAGAAGTATAAATTGTATAGATTGGGACTTCATTTGCTGAAGCTGAGAGATAGAGACACTTCAAAAATCAGACCAGCCTATATTCCAAGCAGACTTCCTGAGGAGATGTGGTAATGAACATGATTTAAACACCCTCCTGTTGTCCTGGAGCTCTGGTGGCCAAACTGTGTAAGGAAGTGTGCTGCCAGCCCAAACCAATTCAAATGTACCAGCTCCCAGGAGAAAGATGAGCAGTCTCCACCCATGTGATTTACAGCCTCTGAAAACGCATTGGAGGGTCAGCCATGAGATGGCAATCAACAATAATGACAAATAGTCCTCTGAGTGGTCTCCTGGTTTCAGAATGAGACTCAGAGACACGTGAAGGGCTTGATCTGGCTCTGCCCTCTGATGAGACAATTGTAGGGACTCTGCCTCTTTTTCATGGTGTATGATCTCCGCCTTCACTTCCTTCCCCTAGAGTGTTTTGTACACTTGTCACCCCCTCCCCAGGCCTTATGTGGTCTGGATGACCACTGCCAAGGAGGTCCAAGAGATTAATAGCTAACTGAAGTATGCAGCTGCCATGAAAACTTGTCTAAAGAATAAGAATCTTATAGCAACAAAGACTGCTGTAGGACAGGGTCGGGGGTAGGGGACTAAAGTCAAAAGAAATAAAATCAGTTACTGGCATCGGACTTTTAAATAAATTGGCTACATTCTTATTTATACATATGTTCATATGCAGTTACTAAAAGCAACACAAATGTCTGTTGCTTGTATTATCTGTGATTATTTGTGCACTAAAAACTCCTGTGTGTTCCTGGCAAGACCATTATTTAAGCATCTTCAGCACTTCCTGCCCAGAAAGCTCACGGTCTAGTCTCATTAGGACTTTATCCTCTCTGACGTCTCTAGAGCTCAGGTCACCCTTTATCCTTTGCACTGTAATCCCTCCTAAGGCTCCGTCCACCATGCACTAACCCTCAGGAGTTAGCAGACAGTCTATAAAATCTCGCATACCTCAGCCACGTCCTTAACTGAGCCCTGTGCCTTCTTGTTCTCACTGAAACCTAGCTCTCCCTGCGGTCACTGTCTCCCTTGTAACTTTCAAGAAGTGGAGGACTTTCCCTTTCTTGGAGGCTGGGAAGGACCCTGACTTGTAGATTTTGCTGGGTTTTGTAATACAAATGCTACCCAAATCTGACTTACTGATTCTAACTCATCTAACCCTCTATCAGCTTCTGAGATTGTAAATCTTTACAGGAGGAGACCGCCCATTTTCTTTTGTGCAGTAAAACACTTAACACACTGTGCCACCAGAGCTCCTTGTAAGTGCTATTGTGGCAGGTTTCATGCTACCAACTTGACTTCACTCAGCATAGCTGTAGGAAGAGACAGTTGGCTCCATTAGTCGGCTCTGCCGTTCTCTTATGCAGACCTTTCATCCCACTGGACCTGGAGACAGTCAGGCACTGGGCTGGGCCACTCTCAGACTATCTTCTAGATCATTTTCCTTTCTATTTAGAAGCCCCAGCTTCAAATATGACCCCTCTATCTGACATCCTAATTGATGGAGAAAAAATTGAAACTGTCAAGGATTTCATCCTTGGTACCACAGTCAGGAGATCAGGAGATATATATATATGTATATGTGTGTATATATATGTATATGTACACACACACTGCACTGGGAGAAAGCCTGCTGTTAGGGAGCTCTCCAAATTATTGAGGAGCAATGATGCCAGTTTGAAGACTAAAGAGCACCTGATTCGGGTCATAGTCTTTTCACTTGCTGTGTGTCTGAAAGCTGTACAATGAATAAGGACGAAAGAAGAAGAATTGATGATGCCTTTAAGCTGTGGTTTTGGAGAAGAGCATTGAACATATCATGGACAGTCAAAAGAAGAAAGAGACATGTCTCAGGAAAAGTGGAGCCAGAGTGCTCCTCCAAGGCAAGGGCAGCAAAGCTTTGTCTGACATACTTCAAGCATGTTGCTAGGAGAGGCTGTTCCTTAGAAAGGGACACAAGGCTACTAAAGGTGGAGGGTCAGCAAGAAAGAAGACTCTCACAAGATAGACTGGCATGGTGATTGCAGCAATGGGCTAAGGTATATCAGAAATGATAAGGACGGCACAGGATAGGACAGGGTCCAGGTCTGCTGTTCACAGGGTTGTTATGAGTCACTCTTGACAGCACCTGACAACAAACTGACCCCTCTGGTGTCCTTAATACAATAAGTATCCCTGTCATACATCTTGGTGATTTTTACTTGCTACATAAATAACTCTTTCAACACTGTAGCCTCTCAGTTCCTTGACCTGTCTTCCAAGGACTTTGCCCTTATCTCTTCAACTCCTTCCCACTGTCATATACTCTTCCTTCTCATTATTGATAGCTACTAAACATTGCTCCAAATGTCCAGCATCCCTTTCTCTAACCGGTACTTCCTATCTCTTTAATTCTAATGACCTCTTGATCCCTTCGAAACATGTTGTCTTATTCACTGATTAGTAATTAGCTGTGCAACTTTCTAGGTCCTGTGCCATCAGAGCTCCCTATTTAACCTTAACTGGGCCCTTAGAATTCATCCCACTATATTTACCTAATCTATCTACTTTCCAGTGGTGCCAGTCGGTAGCATCAGGATGGATGGTGAAGAGATTGAGATTGTTCACAGCTTCAGTTTGCTCGGCTCCACGGTCAACACTCTTGGCACCAGTAGCCAGGAAATAAAAAAACATATTGTGATGGGAAAGTCTGTGGTTAGGGACCTCTCTAAAGTACTCAAGAGCAACGGTGTCTCTCTGGAGACTAAGGTGTGCCTGATACAGGCCATGTTTTTTGCAATCACTTGTTATGCATCAGAGAGTTGGACAATGACTAGGGAGGATAGAAGGAGAATTGATGCCTTTGAGCTGTGGTGCTGGAGAAGAGTATTGAATGTACCATGGACTGCCAAGAAAACAAACAGATTCATCATAGAGAGGGTTAAACCAGGCTGCTCCTTGGAGGCAAGGATTCTGGGACTTCGTCTGACATACTTTGGACATGTTGTAAGGAGAGATGGGTCTTTAGAGAGGGACATCATGCTGGGTAGAGTAGAGGGACAGCGCAGGAGGGGAAGACCCTCTATGAGGTGGATTGATTCAGTGACTGGGGTAATCGGGATGGGTGTGTTGGAGGCAATGGGATTGGCACAGGATAGAGCACGGTTTAGGGCTGTTGTACATAGGGTCGTTATGAGTCGCAAACAACTCAACGGCACATAACAACAACAACGTCGACTTTCCAACTTCTGCAGAAACATTTCAACATTTTACCTCTCTCCTTGAATCTCGGTTTATAACTTCTTCTTTCACCAAGAAACAACAACAGTTGGAAGAAAATTTCCACAAGCTCCACTGTCCTGCCCAGGCTCACCTGTGCCCATATACTCTGCCCTACCCCCATTACTAGGGAACTCTGGTGGTCTAGTGGCAAGAAGCTGCACTGCAATCCCAAAAGAACGTGGTTCAAGTCCACACCAGCTGCTCCATGGGAGAAGGATGGGAAAACTCCTCCCATACGATAAACAGCCTCTGAAAACCTGGTGGAGGGTCAGCTATGGGTCAGTTCTGACTCTACCGTATACAACAGCAACAACACAATATGAACGAACTGGTTATGCTCTTATATAATGCCAACCCCTCCACTAGCATCATTTACTGCTCTCAGGTTGGAGCCTTCCAGCTGACCTTTCAGCACATTTTCCTAGGCTGAAAATCACAGGAAAGGAGATTGCCTGTCTTTCGTCCATGGAGTTATTGGTAGACTTGAACCAACCACCATTAGATTAGCATCCCAGTTCTCCATGACAACACCACCAGAGCTGCTTTCTGCTGGTACACTAGACCACACTTCTTTCTGTCTACTCAAGGACATTAACAACAGAAATTCTCATTTCTTCTGCATAAAACCTTCCCACTCAACAGACTTGTTCCCACTAGTATTATTTATTCCATTAAAAAAAAAATACCACACTGCCTTACTTCCCCCTCTATTTCTTCACTGCTTTGCTCTTCTTTAAGGAGCCTGGCAGAGTAGGATGTATGTTCAAACCCAGCAGCCCCTGCAGGCTCTTCTTATCAGCACTGAGCCTTACAAACCTGATGCAGGGTTACTATGAGTCGACAGGGGGGCTGAATGGTTTGTGCTCCTCTTTATACCAAGAAGTTTAATTTCATTAAGTTCTTTCCACTTCAGTTGGGATTTTGGTTCCAACACTCCACTGACTTTGCTTTTACCCAGGTCGTCAGTGACAGCTCTATTGCTAAACAGGGTCAGTTCTCAGCCCCATCAGCAGCAGTTGATCAGGATGTTGTTCTGTCTTGATTTCCACGCTGCTCCCGGGGTCATCTATTCTCAATATTCTTTGCTATTTCTCTTATTTTTGATCTCTTCACAGAGGCTAAGACTTGGACCTCTTCATTCTGACTCCACTCACACCCTGGTGATGTTAAACCTCAGCAGCACAAAGTGATACTGAGTTGGTATCAAATTGGTGGGTTGAGATTAAGTGCCTGGAGTATCAAATCAGCCTTGAAAGGTTAGTGAGAGGAGTTAGAACTACTTTTATATTTCCAGTTTCGTTTTTCATGTAGTTCCTCCCCCTTTTTCTTAGCTGATATAACTCTTCTAGTTCCATAAGATATTAGAGCTTATCAATAAGTTCACATTTGAAATTGTCACTCTGTGTGTGTGTGTGTGTATATGCGCCCGTGTGTGTGTGTGTGTGTGTGTGTGTGTGTGTGTGCGTGTGTGTGTGCTTGTGTGTCATCTAACATTCAACAATAGAAACTTGAGGGAAACATTTCCCGATGGTCCAGTCATGAGACTAGAAACAACGACTTACCTCTTCAGAAGATGGTTAGAAGGGATTAGCCCAGCACAGCTATCAGGGTCCGAGATTCTCCGGGCCTGCCACCAGAGGTTGTCATTCTGGTCCACAATCTGGAGGATGTCTCCTTTCTGGAAACGCAACCCAGCATCCACGCAGGGGATGGCAGGATCCTCCTGGGGCCAGTAATCGGTCATAGCACGAACGTACACCTGGCAGCAGGTGCATAAGGACATCAGAAGAATGCCTGTTGACTGGCTTCCAAAACTTATATTTTCCCCACTCTCAACTACTTCCTATCTTCCCTTCCCAGCCTTACCAAGAGAGGGAACTTACCTCCAAACTGAGTCCATGGGCCATAGGGAAAAAAACGGCTTTGGGAATAGAAACTCCTAGTTCAGGGAAAATGTCAAATGTTCACTACTGTGATTCTCCTGTTTGACTTCTTGGTGTCCCTGTCTCCTTTTATTGATTTGTTCCTTCTTCCACTTACATCATCAGTACTGAACAAATTATTCAAAACTATACTGAGCAAATATTCAACATACCGCAGAGGAGAGTTACATGATCCATAATATTTAAGTCTGTTATTGTTACTGCTATTTGAAAGGTCCCTAAACTTTCATAGCTCAAATGCACCCATCAATACAACAGGAAAAAAGCCTTGTTTCCATTAAGAATAGAACCAAGAAAACATGACAGAGCAGTTCCCCTCCATACCATTCGGGGTCGCCATCAATCAGAATTTATTCAATAGCAGCTAACTACAATGGCATCATTGTGTTCTGACATTTACTGTGTAGATAGGAAGGTTCAGTAAATTCTTACCATTTTCTGGCTATTAACAGGAGGGTCAGAAACTGGAACCACTTTGAACATGATTGTGCCATGAGACATGGCCTAGAAAATGTCAAAAGAAGAGATGATAAATCACAGGGTTATTGGGGTTCAGCAGATGAGATAGTTACTAAATGGGCCCACATCTAAAGGTGATGTACCCCACAGGTACTCTCGTGAAACTACCAGCTGTCATCACCCAGGAATTGTGATGAGACAGTTCTGCTTAAAGCCACACTGAGGCCAGGCATCTCAAGGACCCTCAGTCTCACTGCCACCAAGAATAGCCCACACAGGGATTGTCTTCTCTAAGTCCTGGGAGGAGATGAGTCTCTGTCTGATACTCTTTCCTCACGCCCATAAATGGTAAGCATTTCTCGAGTATCTGTTTATGTGCCAACCCTTATGACAAGAGATGTTCAGTGGTCAGCTCATAATCCCACTATTATGGCAATATCAGCAGGACCAAGGTGGATTTACAGTACTTTAAGCTTACTTTACTGCATCTGCCTATCACAGGGAATATGAGCAGTGGCTCATAAAGCATGTAGGTGCTTTGCATACTCTGTATAGTGCCATCCCTCATCTCAATTCCAGAGCCACTTCTGTGAAAGCCTACACTTGCTAGGAACCCCGTGAGAACACCATTCATCAATATTAATACATGACAATGTCAGGCCTCACAGTCAGCATGTGTATGGAGGAGATGGGCCAGGCCTTGCTGCTATGACTATTTACAGCTAAGCTACGATTCAAGTAATATCTGAAGGGTGAAAATAGGACCTAAAAAGAAAAAAGATGCAGAGAGCCAATCAATAAATCTCTAATTCCAATCAAGGCTAACAAGGATCTCCCTTTCCCCGACTCTTCCTTCTGTTGACTTCTTTCTCTTCAAACCTGCTCTCAAGGGGGATGTTAAACAGATCTCAGCTGTACAAAAATGTTAGAAGAGTAAGTAAGGTGTGACTTTGTGCCCCTGAGGGTGCCACATGGTTTACAATGTGCTCAGCTGCTGCCAGTGAAAGGCTGACATCTATCCAGAGATGTTGTAGAAGAAAGAGCTGGGGTCTACTTCCAAAAAAGTCAACCACTGAGAACCCTGCCAAGTACAGCTCTACTCTACATGCACAGGGTCGTTCTGAACATAACTAATGGGTAAAGGAAAATTATGGCTCGCTCAGTTTCAAGTCTTTCTCCTCCCAACCCCAGCTTCCTTTCCAAAGGAGCAACAAAGGTGATGAGGAGTCTGGGCCTGGCCATCTTCCCTAGAACTGAAGCTGCAGCTGAAGAAGGGCAACCCTCCTAGCAAGGCCAGACAATTAGGGAAAAGGGCAGGTCAGAGGGACAAGATTTTAAAGTCTGGAGGGAGAAGGCTGTCAAGAGGCACCCAAGTTCCCCTCACGACACAGTAATGTACACACTATGGGATTGATGGGCCCCACTGAACTTTGCCTGTGACTAAATCATACATAAGAGGGGAGGCTGTTACCAGAATATGGATCACTTGCTCAGGGTCCAGGCCCTCCACTGAGATTCCATTCACTTCCACCAGTTTGTCTCCAGCATACAACAACCCTAGGCAACCATGAGGACAAAAGAAATAGGGGTTTAGAGAACCTGGTGAACTCTGGCATTGCATATCCCAACAGATATTTAACAACTCATTAAACATGTTCTGCAACTCTGTTTTGGTTTATTTTTTGAAATAATAATCACAATTGTATGAAAATTCCCCTTCTTACCTCTTCACAAACATCTGGTATTATTTAAAGGTTCTATGTTTATGTTTTTCTTTTGTGTGTGTGGGTGTGTGTTATTGATATTTTTATTATATGTTTTTCATATGGTGCTGTAAACTGGAACCAGAACACTGACTGGGAGAAAGTATGAAAAGTCAAGATGTTGCAGTCATGAGAAAATAAAGGAAGAAGAGGAAGGGAAAATGTAGATAAACATGGGAATATGAACTTCTTGAGAAATATGAGGCAAAAAAGTGGACTCATAAGAGAAACGAGACAAGAAGGGGGATGTTATCATGAAACAAATCAAAGGCGATGAAAATTTGAATAAAAGTGTAGCCAACATGACTGAACGTGGTAAGAAAAAACAAAACATAACTGAAGATGAACAAACAGTTAACAGAGTTGGTAAACAGGAACTCTCAGGAGTAACTCCCATTAGAACGCTGGGGTACGTATGCCAAAGGGCTGTCGGTAGCAAGGACAAGGAGCAGTAGGCGTAGAGTTACTCACTTCAGAAACACAGCAGTGAAGGAAGACAATGTGGTTAATTAGTAGAAAGAGCAGACAGATGGCACTCCGCAAGGAGGAGACTCCCACTTTTTTGAAGCAGGTATACCAAGTGAAGAGGGACATTGGGAGTACAGAGTCAGGCCGACCTGGGATCGAATCCTGGCTCCAGCTCTGCAGCCTTGGGCAAGTTAGTCACTTAATCTCTTTGAGCTTCAGTTTCTGCATCCATAAAACGGCAAGGTAATACCTTGTTGGATGATCTTACACACATAAACTGAGAGAATACTAGTACGGTGCCCAGGATGAGAACAGTGGTTCCTGCCTCTTTCTTGCCTTAACCAGGCAGTGAGGCTTATTTCCAGAGTTTCCTATTTTCTGGTCTCATTTGTACTCTGCTTCTCCAGCTTACCACTTCTCTCAACCAGTCCACCACGGATGACCCTCGCCACCAGGATGTCCCCTGTCATCTCATGGCGCTTGATGGTGGCTCCCTGAAGAGAGAAAACAACAAAATCTCTCCTTTAGTTGTAGAATTGTTTTTCTTTCAGTGCAGCATAACTGGCCTTCAGATAATACTTATATCAGTTAGAGAGATGGCCATGTAATGCCCCGATGCCCTCCAGTCATAACGTCAAAAAGGGCAAAGTTATTCAATCTTGGTCTCCAAGGCCTCCTACTGAGCAGAGAGAAAAGAATGTATATCTTCTTAAAGATGAAATTTCCAGAATTATAATCTAGTTAGAGAAACTATTCTTAGCAAAGTTAACTCCTTACTTGTAGCCCACTGATAAAGGGGGGGAAAAGCATTGAGATTGAGTGAAATATATGTGTCCATCAGAGTCAAATAAAGAAATAAAATGCCTATGTCTTATTTCTTAAAGTTCTTTAAAAAAGAAAACTACTAAATGGAAATATTTTCTTCACGGAAGCATTAACAGCATGTAGTATGTTTGAAACTATAAGCAAAAATTATTAGTCTTTAAGTTTGTAAGTCTTTTTAAAAAAATTTATTTTATATTGGTTTGCATACAAAATTTATACATTGTGTTTCATTCAATAACACTGCATGTCAACTTTCCTTCATTCTGTAGCCATTTTTTATTGTTGAGTTCCTCTCATATTTTTCTAAATGCCTCAAATTGTTATATATACCACAGACAAGAATATCATCCAAGGAGATACTCTCGTATAATTGATACTGAGCTCCAGGGACCTAGTGGAAAGGAGTTGCATTGTCAGCACAAAGGCACACAGTTCAAATCCATCACCAGCTATTGGGTGAGTGGGGGAATGTGCAGTCTCCTCCCATGCAACTGACATTGAAATTGACCTCTGAAAACCTGCTGGAGGGTCAGCTATGAGTCAGGTCCAACTCAACAGCACATAGCAACAATGTAATTGAAATTGAAAAATACAATGGTCTCCTTACCAGAGGCTGTTGATTTTTCACCAAGCAAACAATCCTCATTGGTTCTTCACTATCAGAAACAGTGTCTGGCAGTGGGGGGAGCAGGGGTTCAAAATCTTTCTGAGCTATAGTGTCATGGGCACTAAGCAAGGCCTGCAGACAGAGAAGGAGAAGGTGGACAAACATCACACCTAGGACAGATAGTGACTTAACACTGCGGAGTACACACAGCAACTACCACTGTCACCAACACACACATGAGAGAGGAATCTTAATAGATCTCAAGTACTTTGTTTGAAATCCTTCCTAATAGTTATTGATGAAAAAAAAAATGTTACACTTCACCAAAGAAGACGTTCAGGTGGCTAACAAGCACATGAAGAAATGTTCAAAATTCCTAGCTCTAAGAGAGATGCAAATTAAAACAACTATGAGATATCATCTCACCCCAGTCAGAATAGCAAAATTTAACAGAACAGCAAGCAACAAATGTTGGCGAGGTTGTGGAGAAACTGGAACCCTTATTAACTGTTGGTGGGAGTATAAAATAGTGCAACCACTGTGGAAGGAGGTATGGCACTTTCTCAAAAAGTTGCAAATAGAAATATCATTTGACCCAGCAATTCCACTACTGGTTTCTCAAAGAGACCATAACTGACATCCAAGCAAATATATGCACGCCCATGTTTATCGCGGCTTTGTTCATAATAGCAAGGAGTTGGAAACAACCTAAGTGCCCATCAGCAAACGAATAGATAGAGAAGCTGTGGTATATTCACACAATGGAATACTATGCTGCACTGAAAAACAAGGAACTCATGCAATATTATTCAAAATGGGTGACCCTGGATGACATTATGCTGAGTGAAGTATCTCAGTAACAAAAGGACAAATATGGCATGGTGCCACTGTTGTAAAACAGGACTAACCTCGGGGTTGGGGGGAGACTGAGAAAGATGGGTTCAGTAATGTATACTGTATTGAAACAGATAAGGGAGAAAACTGTTTAAAATGGGTATGTGATTAGGTATTTTTGTTATGACAGGAGTCCAGAGTGAAGGCTGCATAGTGGAGTGGACCTGGGGAGGGTAGTGTACTAGGGGGGAGGGTTGGGAGAGGAGAAAAGTGCAAAAATGGGTGAATGGAAACCCAAAATCTCTGTAAATTTTCATTGAAATTAATAACAAATTTTTTAAAAAATGATAAAAAATAATAGTTACTGATTAACTTTCACTGAGTGTATTTCAGAATCATGTGGTATTTTTTTTCTTTTGAACTATCAACCATTTCTGATAATTAATTTCTTCCAAGTGTATGTTCTCTTCTGAGTTTGATAAACCAGCACGACAGACAATTCAAAGTGGTGTTACTCTCCATTTAGATCAGAGGTCCAAAAGCTATGGTCTTATACCTTAAAAGAAAAGAGTATATCCTTAAGCAAATGTTTTTAAATACACCACTGACATAGTTTGAAAGGCTAAGGGGCAGTTTAGTATCAGGATATGAGACACTGTGACTTAGTGGGATGTAAATTTCACTCCCAGGTGGGAGAGTCATTGAGCTAAGAAAGAAGGTAATTATATGTCAAATAGATGAGTGTATGAAAAGGGCATAAGAAAGCTAACTGCATGGAAGAAGAGAAAGCAGTCTTGGAGAGATATCTTACTGCTTTCCAGACCTGCTAATAAAATGTTATATTGATCTACAAAGCCCCACCTCTGTCTAATTGGCCACAGTGACTGGCAGGCCACACCCTGTGTTCAGTTTCAAATATATTAAGCACTTTGCTAAACATTTTATGTATATTAACTCACTTAATCTTGACAACAACTCTGAGGCCGATGCATTTGCCATCTTCAATTGACAGATAAGGTGATGAGGCACAAAGAGATTAATTAACGCATAAGATAGTCTTTTATTGCTGCTCAAATTTCTTGTTTCTTGGCTATCTCATTTCTTGCAAGCATAGGTAGTTCAGAGTGCTCTTCCCGAGTCTGAAATACAAAACCACTTTTGTGGTGTTTTTCTAGTAAAATGAGTAATCAAATGCGTAATTATGGTAAAATGAGTAATCAAAATATCTTGCGGGTTTAATTTTTCGGTAACACCCAAGACTCCATGTGGAACAGGATGTGAATAAATTAGTTCCCTGGCTTCTTTCCATGCCTGCTCTGTCGGGTTTTCATCACATGGAGCGGGGAAGTCTATTCTTCAGCTCTGCCTGAGGCTTAGTGGGCAGAGTTTAGTTGAAATTCAGGAAGTTCTCTAGATAATTCCTGCAGCTGATAATTCCTGCATAAATTCTATTGTTCTAAATACTCACTTAAAGTTCTAATATGTTGGTAAATTGATCTCAAAATCGGTAAATATTAAGAAGTTGTTCTCTGTTCTGTAATCAAATGTTCTTCATATAACTGCCCTCTCATAAAAGTACTCAGAAACATACGTTCTGTTCCAAATACTCTATCACACTCTATCCAAAGCTTCAAATACTCCTGAGTTGGAAAGGATGCTACCTTGACTGTCTCCTAGAATTTTAGAGGAATAATTTCTTGGCGAACAAAGGACCATGGGAAGTTCTGGACAACTCTTCATAAACAAGGCAGATTGGCTCTCTTCCTGATAACATTAAGTCAATCACACTGGAGCCTTTCAGTGTGTTCAGCTGTTCATCCATCAATAAGGATAGAGTTGTATCCCACAAAGAAATCAACCCAGAATTTTAGAAAGACATCTGACAACACCCGTAACAGTGCACCTATTTCAAGAGTATAGTTTTATCCCATTTTTTTCACCTCTCCAACCTCATCTATGTCCCAGAGACACATAGCTTGTCTATTTTATTAAGCACTTGCCTTAAAATGTGGAGCCTTCAGGATTTGTCGCAGCTCATGGATCTCGGGAGAATTAGGCATTCCACGTAACAGTTCCACAACCTCATTGATGGAAAAGCATACATTGTGAAATTTTAAAAACTAGTTACACTCAAGAAGTCCTAGTGGCTCATGGGTTAACAGTTCAGCTGCTCACCCAAAGGCCTATAATTCAAACCCACCAACCATTCCACAGGAAAGGATGGGCAGGCTGCCCTGTAAGGATTCACAGTTAAAGGTTCTATGGAACCAGTTCTTCTCTGCCCTATGTGGTGATTTAAGCTGAAATTAACTCAGTGTCAGTGATTTTCTTCTTTGTTTTTAAGTTACTCTCACCTAAGCTGACTAGCATGTTGACTAGTATGCTAGTTTGACTAGTACGGTTTACTTACTGGTAAGGTATTGACCATTAAGAAAATCTGTTCTGAAGCCTTACTTTGCATATATAAAGGCAGGGTCTGGTACCCTTCTTTAATGAATAAAGAACTTTACTACCAGCAGTGTGTTGTTGTTATTAGGTGTCAGAAGTCAAGCATGACTCATAGGGACCCTGTGAACACAAATCTGAACCTTGCGCTATCCTGTGCCATCCTCACCATTGCTTATATGTTTGAGCCTATTGTTACAGTCATGGTGTCAAGGCGTCTTGTTGAGGATCTTCCTCTCTTCTCTGACCATCCTTTTCCACATGATGGCTTTTTCCAAGGACTGGCCTCTCCCCACAACATGCTCAAGGATGTGATATGAAGTTTCGCCACTTTTGCCTTTAAGGAGCACCCTGGTTGCACTCCCTCCAAGTCAGACTTGCTTGTTCTTTTGACAGTCCGTAGGACATTCACTGCTCTTCTCCAACACCACCATTTAAAGGCGTAGATTCTTCTGCTGCCATTCTTATTCATTGTCCAACTTCCAGTTGCACAGGGAATAGTAGAAAAATATCATTAGGTAGAATTCAAAATTTTGGCAATGGACCTAGTACCTTTAGCGCTCCAGTCTTGGTACATCAAAGTTTTGGAAGAAGAATGAATGAAATCTCATAGTATCATTTGAATAAAGGCACTGACTCATAACAACTCTACAAATAATAGAGTAAAACTTTGCTCTATTCCGTATCATTCCCACAATATCTGCTGTTTTTATGCCCATTGCTTCCATCACTGTCTTAATCCATTTTATTGAGACTGTTTTTCCCTTTTGCTGGTTTCCCATTTTTCAAGACACTGTTCCTCTAGTGGCTCTAAAAAGGCTACTTTTTTGATATGAACATTCTATAGGCAAGTTAGGCAACTTGAATTTGTCCAGGTCTAGGTTCAAAGTACTGAGTGACCTCACGTAGCTTAACCCCATGGAAAGTTTCATTCTTCAATTGATAACCTAGAAACAGTAATTCATAGTTCAAAGTTGGTTATTTGATAAGCAATCTCAGGGGTTTTTTTAACCTGCAAAACAGAATAAATTTTTATCTCTTTGCTGTGGTTTATGTATAGATTTGTTTTCTGACTGGACATAAGATTGCTTAAGATTATCAGTCGGATGAATCTTGAGATCTAGCATTTCACAACATTCCATCAAGTGAAAACATACAGTATACAAAGCTAGAATTCCATTGTTAAGATTGCAATGGAATAAAATACTGTATGTACTCCTGTGAACAATGGAGGGCTATTTGAGTTGTTGGTTACTGGAACTGAAGGAGCTGTTGTTGTTGTTAGGTGTTGTCGAGTTGGCTCCTACTCAAAGTGGCCCATGTATAACAGAACGAAATGTTCCCTGATGCTGCACCATCTTCTAAATCTCAGCTGTGTTTCAGTCCATCGCTCCAGTTACTCTGTCAATCTATTTTGTTAAGGGTTTTCCTCTTTTCCATTGACTTTTCACTTTGCCAAGCATGATGTCTTGAAAGTAGAGTTTCTTTTTTTTCCTTTAAAATAATATAGTTTGGTAAAAAAAAAATACAATGGATCCTTATTTATCTATCCATTCAGTAAATCTATATAGAGCACCTTCTATGAGGTGGGCTCTGTTTTGGGTGATGCAAATAGACGGCAGTGAATGAACAAACAGAAACTTCTAGTCTCAAGGTGCTTCATTCACCTCCTCATTGCCTTCAAGTTGGAACCAACTCATAGCCAACCCTCCAGTGGATTTCAGAGACTGCATGTCTCATGGGAGGAGACTGCCTCTTTCTCCTGCAGAGTGGGTGAATTCAAACCAGAGAGGAGTGTTCTTTAGCTTAGCAGCCAAATTCTCTAAGAATCTGTTAGCAAAGCTTCCTCTCATGGTACTCGTGCAGATAATAAATAAAGCAGAAATTATTTTTTTTTGTTTGATAGAAGTGTTAAGATGAAAACTAAACCAGAGAAAGTGGGTAGAGAGGGATTGGAGGAGATAAGAATTTTAGTCAGAGTGACAAGGAAAGACTCAGTGAGAAGGTGGCGTTTAAGTGGAGACTGAGAAAGCTGAGGCACCGAGGCAGGAGAATACTCTGCTTGTTCAGTTAACCAAGGGATCAAATATGGCTGGAACAGAGTTAGAAACCAAACCAAAAAATGTAAGCCCAAACCAAGCTGCTTTGATTCATAATGACCTTATAGACCAGAGTAGAAAGAGCTCATACCTTTTCCAAGACTGTATCCTTTATGGATGCAGATTGTGATATCTTTCTCCTGCTGAGCAGCTGGTGGGTACCAACCACTGACCTTCCGTTTAACTATTCACCACACTGTGCCACCAGAGTTTCCAGCAGAACAGTGAGTAATCAAAGAAGTAATGGGGTACAGATTCTGTACAGCTATGCCCGCATTTCAGAGTTTCCTCTGAATGAAATGGAAAGTCATTGGGTGAGTCTGAGTGAAATAGTACGATCTGACTCACCTATAGAGAGGGATGAGGGTAAAAGGAGACCAAGCAGGAGGCTATAATGCCATTAATCTATGGAAGGCTTATATTAAGTAGCACAGTGGAGGTGGTGAGAATCTAGGTGTTATCTGGATGTATATAATACAGTTGGCAGATTTTCCATCAGATTGTATGAGAGAAGGTGAGTAAAGATGACCCCACTTAGCATGAGTGACTGTAACAATGCAAGTGTCAATAGTGAGATAAAAAAGGCAGAGATAGGAGAAGCTTTGCAAGAGAAAAGCTCAGGAGCCCTGTAATTTAGGGAGGAGCACTTGGATATTTGAGTCTTCAAGTCAGAGAAATGGTATAGGCTAGAGGTACGCATTTGGGAATTACTACTGCAACACGATTATCTTATAGGGTAAATTCAGCCTAAGGTTTGGGGGGGGGGGTGGAAATAAACACTTATGCTAAAAATAGGGACCTCTGGTGGCTTAGTAGTAAGGAGCTGCACTGACAACCCAGAAGAATGTAGTTCAAATACAATTGCCCCCTAAGAGAAAGATGAGCAATCCCTCCTAAGAGATTTACTGCCCCTGAAATTCTGCTGGAGGGTCAGCTATGAATTGCTTAAAACTCAATAATACACACAAACAACAATTACAATGCTAAAAATGTTCTTCTAATGTGTTAATGGGTACCCATGGTGGACAGTGTTGGCTGGAGCTTCCCGACTAAATCAAGCCTGGAAGCAGGAGCAGCATCCACTTCCAAAATGGCTTGCCTCCGGAAACTCTATGTACGAACAGTGCTCAGGCCGTTCGTTCACAGGGTCGCTATGAGTCGTCTATGACTCAACGGCATCAAACAACAATAACAATGACGATGGCCAAGAGAGAGCTATGTTGGCCTAGTGGAAAGGAAGCTATGCTACCAAGCCAAAGGTGGGTGATTTTCATCTGTGGCCCTCGGCCAGGTTCAAATTGTCTTCCTGTCAAACATTCTTCTAGGTGGTGTAGCACTGGTCTGTGCGTTGCTGTACAGAGGTAACTCGTGGTTGCTGTGATGCTGAAGACTGTGACAGTGATGTGCCAATCATGGTAATGGGTTCCCATGGTGGACAGTGTTGGCTGGAGCTTCCCGACTAAATCAAGCCTGGAAGCAGGAGCAGCATCCACTTCCAAAATGGCTTGCCTCCAGAAACTCTATGTACAAACAGTGCTCAGGCTGTTCGTTCATAGGGTCGCTATGAGTCATCTACGACTCGACGGCATCAAACAACAACAACAACAAACAATGTTTTAATTTAGATAGTGAATATGCCAATTTCTTTCTTGTATTAAGACCAACTTACTAGATGTATGATCATGCATAGGAAAATTTCCATTAACATCTTTAATTGGTAGTAAAATTGCCCTGCATTTAAGTTCTGCTATCCCATGGATTACAAACCATCCTTACCTCAGAGGATAAAGCCTGTGCGTGAGCAGCGGCAGGAACTGGTTTCTTTTCTTTGAAATCTTGGAGACAGTCATAAATCTGTGGGTGGGAGGATGGCAGGAAAATAATAACTGTAAACATTTTAGTCTCTCAAAGGGAAGAAACAGTGTAAAGAAAAATAGACTGATAGGGTGATTCTAATGCATCACAGGCTTAAACACTGGCTAGTGCTGGAAATTGATTTACCAGTGATTTCAAAACATTTAAAAAATCTTTTATTACTTTAAAAGTAACTACTACCATTTACCAGTTTATCTTACTGTAAGACTTGTGTGTTGCTGTGATGTTAGATGCTAAGCTGTCAGGATTCAAATACCAGCAGGGTCCTCCAGGGGGTCAGGCTTTAGCAGAGCTTCCAAATGAAAACAGCTTAGGAAGACTAACACAGGTTGCTGCTGTCGTTACTGTGTGTCATCGAGTCAGAAACTACCCATAGCTGACCCTCCCGTAGGTTTTCAGCGGCAGTTAATCATACAGGAGGAGACTCGCCACCCTTCTCACATAGGACAGCTGCTGTATTTGTACCTTGTGCCTTTGGGATTATAGTGCAGCTTCTGACCACCAAGCCACCAGACCTTCCTAAAACAGATTATTGTTGTGTTCTGTCCAATTGGAACTGAACCATAGCTGAGTCTCAAGCAGGTTTTCAGAGGCAGTAAATTACATGAGAGGAGACTGCTCATCCTTCTCCCAAGGTGATTATTGTTGTTAGGTGCCATCGAGTCAAGACTCATAGCAGCCCTATGAACAAGATATGAACCTTGTCCTATCCTGTGCCATCCTCACTGCCTCTGACACACTTGAGCCCATTGCCACAGTCAATGTGTCAGTCCACTCTGTTGAGAGTCTTCTTCTCTTTTACTGTCCCTCCACCTTCCCAAGCCTGATGCCCCTCTCCAATGAATAGCTTCTCTTAGCAACATGCCCAAAATATGTGAAACAAAGTTTAATCATCTTTGCCCTCAAGAAGCACTCTGGTTGTACTTTTCCCAAGACACATCTGTTTGCTCTTTTGATAGTTCATGGGATATTCAGCACTATTCTCCAACACCACTGTTCAAAGGCATTGATTCTTCTTCTTCTTCTTCTATCATCCTTATTCACTGTCAATCTCTAAGCAGCCTAACAAGTGACTGAAAAGATTGTGACCTGGATCAAGTGCATCCTGGTCTTCTAACTGAAATCACTACTTCTCAGCATTTTGGAGAGGTCTCTGACAGTGAACTTGCCTAATGCAATATGTCTCTTGATTTCTGCTGGTACCAAGGGTTCTGTTTATCCAAGCAAGATAAAATCATTGAAATCAGCTTCAATACTTTCTGCATCTATCATAATGCTGACTGTTAGTCTTGTAGCTAGGGTCTGTGTTTTCTTGATGTTAAGATGCAATTCATAACAAATTACAGCCACGTTTAAAAAATTTCTAAATAGAATGCAAATATCCCATTTCCATTTTTAAAAACAATCACTTAAAACTCATAGGAATACTTTTTTAAAATTGTATTTATTGTGTTTACTGTAAAGAGCTGAAAATCTATTTACTTGTTTGTGGACAAAAGGCTGCATACTGATGACAAGGGACCTCAAGGGACTCTCAGAAGGCGGAAGAAAGAAAGAGTTGCCATATTCTTTTTCCCTGGTTCATGACTTCGAAGGCTTCCTGGTGACATGATAGTTATATGTCTGAAGCTTACTTCGACTAGGAGCTCTGGTAAGGAGTTGCACTACTAATCCAAAGACACATGGTTCCAATCCACCAGCTGCTCCATGAGACAAGGACAGGCAATCTCCTCTCATGAGATTTATAGGCTGTGAACACCTGCTAGAGGGTCAGCTATTCATTGGTTCCAAATCAATGGCATGTAACAACAGCCACTCAATGGTAGAAAAGATCTGGGAATCCTTTCTGTATATATTTGTAGCCTAAGAAATGCTATGGGGCAATGTTCTACAGGGATGCTATGATTTGCAAGGACTCCACAGCTCACAACAACAACCTCTTTCTAAGACTAGAGCAATACCTTCGCTAAGAAGTTTGCGTAGTTCTCTTCTGAGGATTGCCTTGTAATAACTTTTTCTATGTTCAAATTCCTTGCAACGCTGTTGAGTAAATAGATTTTTTTTCAGCTCCTCTTAGTAAACAAGGGCTTCCCAGCAAGCTCACCTTGAGCAGGGCCAGCAGCCACGGGGAGTGCAGGAGATCATACAGCAGACACACTCCATTCACGTCTCGGTTGTAGAACATGCTCAGCTCCTGCAGCACAAGCCGCAGGATCTTTGAGAGACCTGAGAGAGGGAGAGGGCAGCAGGGGATGATGGACAAGAGGGAAGAAGGGCAGATGAAAGGCAACTCAGATAGCAGAGGCTTATGTTCCCTGTGCAGTGGAAACGACGTTGGGTGTTAGTTACTGTGTTTACTTGAGAAAGTCACTTACCTATACGAAACTCAGTTTCTTGTGACAAAATTTAACATACACTAGCTTACTCATAACATTATACCTTGCTTGCAAAACATAGACTTACTGCAGAAGATCAAAAGCTACAACCTTCAGAATGGATTCCATCTCAACATTAATGAAAAACAACAACAACAAAACACTCAACACCTCTCTTCTAGATAGGCAACAAACATCATGATAGATGGAGAAAAAAACTGTAGTTGTCATTGACTTCATTTTACTTGAGTGACTATCAATACTCATGGTAGTAGCAGACAAGAAATTAAAAGACATGTTGCATTGGTAAAATCTGCTGTCAAATACACAGTGCTAAAAGGCAGTGATGTCGGTGTAAAGACAAAATGTGTCTGACTCAATCCACGGTATTCTAAATTGTTTCTATACATCTGACAATTGGACATATTGAATAAGGAACACTGAAGGAGCAGCAAGACTTTGAATTGTGATATTGGAGAATATGGAATACTCAATGGACTGGCCAAAAAATTAAAAAGGTCTGGAAGGAAGTACACCCAGGCTGTTCCTTAGAGACAAGGATGGTGGAATTTTGTCCCACACACTTTGGGCATATTTTCAGGAGGGACCAGTCCTTGGAAAAAGACATCATGCTGAGAAAGGTAGACGGTCAAAGAAAGAGAAGAAGAGCCTTCAACAAGATGGATTGACATAGTAACTGTAAACAACAGGCTTGAACTTGCTGAAAATCATGAGGATGACAGACGATAGGGCAAAGAGCAGATCTGTTATTTACTGGGTCACTGTGGGGCTGTACAGAAGATTTCAAAGGGTAGCACAAGAAAATCAAAGGGGCCAAATTCACTCAGCATTTCTTAAGTTGAAGGAACTGAGGAACAAATTCAAGCCTTGACTTGCAATACTGAAGAATGCTTTGGGCAGAATGTGAAATGATCCAGGAAGCATTAAAATAAGAGTATACAGAGTCATTGTGCGGACACAGAAGAATGTAATGAAACAATGTGGAGCAAGAACCCGTTGTGATGAAGGAAGAAGTTCAAGCTGCTCTGAAAGGAATGGCAAAAAATAAGGTCCCAGGAGTTGTCGGTATACCAATTGACATACTTCAACAAACAGATGCTGCATTGGATGTACTCACTAAGTTGTGCCAAGAAATCTGGAGGACAACCACCTGGCCAACTGACTAGATGAGATCTATATTTGTTCCCATTCCAAAGAAAGATGCCCTGACAGAGTGCAGAAATTATTGAACAATATCGTTAATGTCACATGCAAGCAAGATTCTGCTGAAGATTATCCAAAAACAGCTGGACCAGCACATAAACAGAGAACTGCCTGAAGTGCAGGCTGGGTTTAGAAGAGGCTGTGGTACAAGGGATATTATAGCTAATGTTAGAATGGATCTTGGCTGAAAGCAGAGAGTATCAGAGGAATGTCTATCTGTGTTTCATTGACTATGCAAAGGCATTTGACTGTGTAGATCACAACAAACTGTGGCTCACTCTTAGAAGAATGGGAATCCCAGAACACTTGATTGTGCTTATATTAAACCTATATTTGGGCCAAGAGGTAGTTGTCAGAACAGAGCAAGGAAACACTGCATGATGAAAAATTGGGAAAAGTGTATGTCAGGGATGTGTCCTATCTCTATACCTTTTCAATGTATGTGCAGAACAGATTATCTGGGAGGCTGGGCTCTATGAGGAGAAATGTGGCATCAGGATTCAAGAAAGACTCATCAACAAGCTACATTAAGCAGATGACACAACCCTGCTTGCTGCAACTGAGGAGGACCTGAAGTGTTTGCTGCAGAAAGTCAAGGACTGTAGACTTCAATATGGATTGAAGCTCAGCATCAAGAAAACAAAGATTCTCACCACTGGGCTGAATGGCAGCATCATGATAGATGGTGAAGAGACTGAGATTGTTAACAGCTTTAGTTTGCTTGGCTCCACAATAAACACTTTTGGTACCAGCAGCCAGGATATCAAAAGACGAATTGCATTGGGAAAGTGTGCTGTCAGAGACCTCTCCAAAGTACTGAAGACCAACAATATCAGTTTGGAGACTAAGGTGCGCCTCATCCAGACCATAGTCTTTGCAATTACCTGCTATGCATCAGAAAGCTGGATAATGACTAGGGATGACAGAAGGAGAATGAATACCTTTGAGCTGTGGGGCTGGAGAAGAGTATTGACTATACCACGGACTGCTAAGAGAACAAACAGGTTCATCCTAGAGAGGGTGAGATCGGGCTACTTCTTGGAGACAAGGATTTTGAAGCTTTGTCTGACATACTTTAGACATGTTGCAAAGAGGGACCAGTCCTTGAAGAGAGATGTCATGCTTGGGAGGGTGAGTGTACATAGGGTCGCTATGAATCGCAGGTGACTCAATGGCACATAACAACAACATGAGTTGTAATCAAGTCAGACATAGTATTGTTGCTAACAACAGATGAAATGGCAGACAATATATAGACATTAAGGCCATGTAAGTTTCACATAATAATTGCTACTGCATGCACCATTTTATCAGCCTTCAGGATACTCTCAAATTGTCTACTTCTTTCTTAGAGGATACTCCTCTAAGGCAAACACAGCATTATTTGTCTTTACCATTTCACAGATTGATATTGAAAGTGTTACAGAAAAACTCTAACCATTTTTAAATACAAATCTCAGGACTTCACTGAGTTATGGAACCAAACAAATTTTAGTCTTTTTACTTTTTAAAAAAAGTATTTTATTATTATTTTGTGCGTGTGTACCATCAAATCAGATCTGACTGGTACAGGAGGAGATTGTCCCTCCCTCTCCAGCAGAGCATCTGGTGGATTTGAACCGTTCACCTCTGGGGTTGCAATGCAGCTTCTTGCCACTAGGCCACCAGAGTTCACCAGATTTTAGTATTTTTAAAAAACAAGTATTTTAATGGAAATTCTATTTGTTGCAGTGACATTTTTAACATGAACAGGTTATGAAGCATTCTAACTTTTACATGAAATTAAAAATGAAGGGTTACAGACAGAAAAAGCTCTTGAATCTATCATGTCAATATTTTTTTCCTTCCTGCCAGATTTAGTAGCCTTAATGAAAGTAAAGGTGCACTTAACAGTGTACTACAAGTTTCTTGTAAGAACCACAGTAAATCTGTTAGAGTTTTGGATCATTCATTTGTTCATAAATTTACTAATTTTAAGGCCTTGTGAGTCTAGAAAAAGGAACTCTTGAGAGACATACCATTCTTGGGGTTGGTGGCTGTGGGTGGCTTCATGTCCTTTAGAGGACTTGCTCCTCTGTCTGATTGTATCATCCTCCCTGAGCTTCCAAAAGGAACACAGAACTGCAGAGTGATCAATAAACAGCACATAGTTTACACAGCTCAACTGCTAACCAACAAAAATCAGAAGTTTAAACCTGTCAGTGGCTTCAGGGGAGAAAAGACTTGCCATCTGCTTCTATGAAGTGGACAGCCTAGGGAAACCTATGAGAACATTCTGCTGTCATTACGTATAGTAGAGTCATGAGTCTGAATTTGCCTAGCAATAGCAAGCTTACTTAACCATGTTGGTCATGTATCTTTCAGCAAACTACAGTATATATTTTAAACAGCATTTATTGAATGACACTGTGCTAGGCACTGGGGTACACACAGAAGAAAATACAGTCTTGCCCTTTAGGATCATACTCTCAAACTTAGCCATCACCAACTGCAAAGAAATAAAACTACTATTTCATAAAATGTTCCCTCTTCTTCCTTTTAAAACAAGGATCAAAGTCTATCTATTTATTGTCTACCCTCTGCCTAACAGATTTTTTCCTAACAATTGTAGGAGACCCTAGGCTGTCAAGAAAACCCTAGAGAGCAGCTACATCCTGTAGCAAATGGGTTACCAGGAGTTGGAACTGTCTAGATAGCAACTAACAACAGCACATTTGTTTCTCACTCAGCAGAGGTAATTGCAAAATTACGGTGTTGGCAGAGGACTGAATGTAGAGTCAACAAATCTGTCTTGGAGGAAACACAACCAGTAAATTCCTTACAAGTGAGGATCATGACATTTCCTCTTATTTACTTTGGAGACACTGTGTATAGACTAATGGACACCTTGCGTATAGAATAGCATGCAGTTCTCATGTGGCAATTGAGGCTCGTAGAGCATTTGCAGTACTATCTCCTGTTATTTTGAAGACATCCCTCTTTTGTGTTCTAGTTTACTGGATTCTATCAAAGCTTGGCATTAATAGGCATTAACTTTGCTCCACCACTGCCTCCCTTACCCTACTGCAACTGAGCCTGATTACATCACGTCGTTTCCCGTGTTCTATCTTTTGAACCTCTGTTGAATAGTTTAGCACAACAGTTGCACCTACGACTAATCTTCATTAATAGGGAACATTTCACAAAAAGGGGAGTGAGAAGGGGGACAGACTGCCTGCCAGACACAGTCAGAGCAAACAGACAGGTCTGACACCAAGTCATCAGAGTCAAGTAAGCTCTTCAAATGTGTTGCAGTCTTGTGTCCATCCATCTGGAAAGTCTTCCTTTCTTTCTCTGATACTCCACCCTCCCACACGTCCTTCTCATAGGAATGCCCCACCTCAACATACTCAAAGAAGATGAAGCAACATCATCCTTGCTTAAGCCATCTGGGTGTACTGTTTAGAAACGAATTACAATCCACTGTAGACAACTACCTTGGAAGAAGTGTAGCCAGAGTGCTCCTTAGAAGCAAAGGTGGTGAGACTTGGTCTCATATACTTTGGACAAGTGGAGGAATGTTTTAATCCTTATGGAAGGACATACTTGGAAAGGCAGAGAAAGATGCTCAATATGATTGACTGATAAGCCTGCAACAGTGCGTTTGAATGAGTTGATTCAACAGCACAAGTAAACCTAGAGTCAACTCCAAGTCTTGGTGGCTATCAAAGAGACAGTTCATTTCAGTAGAGTTAACAAGTGGTGAAATTAAGCTTTTCTCTGCTGTTTCCTCAATAAGTCAGTATGGGATACTGCTAGTTGGCAAGATTCAGCAGTCTTTACTTTCCTCTCCTTTTTCATGGGTACTGCGGGTTTTTTTAATGGTGCAAAGGCATTTGGCTGTGCAGATCATAATAAACTATGGTTAGCATTGAGAAAAATGGGAAACCCAGAATACTTCATTGTGCTCATATAAAACCTATACCTAGAACAAGAAGGTGCTGTCCGAATAGAACAAGGGAACACTACATGGTTTAAAGTCAAGAAAGGAGAACATCAGGAATGTATCCTTTCTCCATACCTATTCAATCTGTATATTGAGCAAATCATTCGGGAAGTTGGACCCTGTGTAAAGGAATGTGGTGTCAGGATTGGAGACTCATCACCAAGCTTAGTACTACAGATGATACAATCTTGCTTGCTGAAAATGAGGATATGAAATGCTAAGAAGTAGATCTTAAATCTTCTTCAAAAGCCTTCAATATGGATTACATCTCAACATCAAGAAGACAAAATCCCTTACTACCAGGCTGAATAGCAACATCATGCTAAATGGAGAAAAGACTGAAACTGTCAATGATTTTGTCTTACTGGGTGGGATCCACAATCAACACCCTTGGCACCAGCAGTCAAGAAATCAAAAGACATGTTGCAATGGCAAAGACTGCTGTCAGAATCCTCTTTAGAGAACTGAGGAGTAATAAAGACAATTTCCATTTAAAGACTAAAGTGTGCCTATTTCAGGCCATGGTATTTTCAATCAGCTGCTATGCATCTGAGAGCCTGATAATGAATAAGGATGATATAAGAATTGGTGCCTTTGTGTTGGGGTAGGAAATATTTCATGTGCTGCCAAAAGAACAAGCAGGTATGTCCTAAAGTACAGTCAGAGTGCTCCTTGGATAGGGCGAGGATACTGAAGCTCCATCTCATATACGTTGAGCATGTTGTTAGGAGTGGTTATGCCTTGGAAAGGGTCCAATGCCTGGGAAGGTGGAAGGGCAGCCAAAGAGGAAGGACCTCAGTGAGATGGACTGACAGCAACTGCAGCAATGGGCTCGAGTAAGCAAGAGTGAGAGAATGGCACAGGACAGGGGCTCAGATCTGTGCCCATGGGGTCGCTATGAGTCATACTTAACAGCACATCACAAAACAGCTTTGCCTGATGACTTATCTATTTCTATTATCTTCAAAATCAGAATCTTTGATTGAGCCAGAAATATACAAGCCTATGCAATTCTGGGTTGGTTAAGGAATGAACGAAGGACAGTCAGTTCTTGTCATTAACACAGCAGCTACATTACCGTTACCTGGGCATCTGTCCTAAGCACTGCTTTAAAAGCCAGTATTTCCATTAATGCTGAAAATGTTATCAAATGTCACAGTCCTCTGGCCCCTATCGTGGTTGCTTTTCGGAAAAATATTTTTGACCAAACACAGTCTGAAAAATACTTGGAAATTTCATTTTGAGAAACAAGCTCCCACAGAAACGGCTGCTTGTTGCCCAGTTAAGATGCTTCAGGTTGGACCAGGATCAAAGCTCAACTGTCAGCAACCTTTGCAACAACGTATGTTTCCAACTTGGAGAAATGGCTCCTTCAAAGCAAAGCTTGTTCTTTCAGTGTCACAAAATCCTCCACATAATTTCGGCTGCTATAAAAAAGAAACCATTTGTATTAGATGGCCCAGCACTGTACTGTTAGCTAATAAAATGGAAAAGCCTAGATATTTATAGATGTATCGTTGATGAACGGATAATCATTTTGGGGATCTCTTACCTGCACGACTTCAAATATGCAACGCTGCTCCCCTTCTGGAGAAAAAGCCTGGGAAATGCTAGCGGGACTTCAGCTGACAAAGTCACCTCACTGCTCTAGATAAACTCCGTCTATCCTCTTTGGTTTAATCCACAGAAACCTAACCTAACCCAACCACTAAATTACACACAAGCCTCTCTTGCCTCCAACCTCACGTATTCCTTGCATCAAAGTCTAATTGATAAAATTTCCAGCCTCTTTCCCAAATAAACAGGACAGAGTTAACACCAAAAAGATTTATATTTTTTGTTGAGTCCGCCCAGATAATAGATATTTCACAACTTCTTCATTTAAATATAAGGCATTAATTGTGAAGAAATCTGAGTGTAGGTGAGTCTAATAACCTTGTATTTCCAGGTTATAGAAAGAAAACAGTGAGAGTCTCTTAAGTCTATGTTAAGATGACCCACTTGAAACAATTCCTTCTGTGGAAGGCTCTCTACCAAACCACTGCTCTGAACTCACAGCTCATTCTCTTGGCTGGAGCTACTTCATTTGACAACGTTGTACTTCAGGTACAATATCTGGAAGGTGGTATGACATAACAAGAAAAGGGGCTCTGCTGACAGAGAGCAAGGCCAAGGGGTAAAGGGGCAAATGGCTATAGTGGAGAGGGTCACCAGCCCTTTGATCCTAATACAAACACAGGGGTTTCCTTTGCTTTTTCCTCTGTAAATAAAAACACAGCTTGGAAGGGAAACATCTGTGAGCATATGGAACTCAGCACATTTTAATAAAAGTACTTAGTTTTATTAAAAGTTTTCATCTGCATCTCCATTTTCACTTTAGGAACATTTGATGCACAGCCCAGTGATGACATCTCTGGCAGCTGCAGGAAGAGGCCCAGAAGTGCAGGGAGCGGAAGGGAGCAAATCACAACCAGCTCATGTCTGCACAACGGGGACATGAGGGTCATGCCCATTTCACAGGACTGCTGTGAGCATTCACCATGCGTGTGGAAATCTTTGTGTTCCTGTACGAATGTCAGGTAAATATTACTATGTGGAGGTTGGCCTAGAGATTTAGGATTCTTCCCAACATCATTTTTGAAAATGAATCATTTTAATATGCTAACAAATATAAACATAGCATGAAAAATTTAAAGTCACTGGAAAGGATTTGCTAAAGACTCGAGTAAAAGGATAAGGTGTCATCTTTAGAATTTAGATCACCTTCCATCACAGCTGCTCCCTGGGAGAAAGATGGGCAGTCTCCTCTCATGTGATTTACAGCCTCTGAAAACCCACTGGAGGGTCAGTTATAAGTTGGTTCCAAGTCAATGGTATGTAACTACCACTACTATCATTTCAGAAATACTCCATGGGCTTCAAGGGGTTTTTCTCTACCTGTAAACACCTTCTTCCAAAGACTTTCTAAATAGTGTTCCACCCCCACCAAAGAGTTTAAATAAAGATATTTAATATCAGTAAATTAGCTTTTATAATCCTCATTATAAGCATGTGGTATTTGTTGTGTGTGTATCTTTTCTTCAGGTTTAGAAAGTCAAAGCAGCTCCTAATGGAAATGCAAAATGTTTGGCATAAATTAATTTTGAACTGTAGATTCCTTTTCCAATGATGGGGTATCATGTTCTGGTAGTAAAGAGCAATGAGAGGAAAAAGGCTTCTCAAAAAGACTTGTCACAGAAAACACTGGATAAATTATGTATATTGTATTGAAACAGATGAGGGAAAGAACAGATTAGAAGTGATATATGATTGAGTATTATGGTTAGCACAGGAATCCAGAATTAAGGTTGCATAGAGAAGTATACTCGGGGTGGGGGGAAGGGACGTGGGAATTGTATACTAATGAAGGAATTTTTTTTCCTTTTTTTTTTTCTCTCTTCGGAGGGGGAAGCGAGCTGGTGGGGAGGGGTGGGCAGGGAGAAAATTGCGGCAATGAATGAATGGAAATCCAAAAACTCTGTAAAAAAAAAATAAAAAATTAAAAAAAAAAGACTTGTCATTTACAAAGAAGAGAATTAACGAAAGCCTAATCTTTCTAACTTGAATTCTAAATCCTCACTCTTGCCTTGCCTTGTTGCTTAGGATGGGGAAATTCAGTAACTATCAAAATTTACTTTTAATCAAAGAAAATAATTTTCTTTCAAAACACTTGTCATATAGTTATTAAGATCAGAAAGTTACTTTGTTCTCTGCTAGCAAAGAGCTGTAATTAGATTCTACTTATTTTAAATCCAGCAATCTCTAAAACCCCAGAGGGACCAGAGGAGCCAACAAAAATGGCACAGATTATAATGTGGGCAAAGAAAATGATAAGCCTGGATTTCCTTTAATTTTTTAAGGTCACCCTGCATACCATTCCTTCTGTAATCATAAAACAACTCCAGAAAGATGAGCTTCTTTTATTATGAAAATTGCTGCTACATTACAGCCAACATTCCAAAACAGTATTTTAATAAACACTTTTCTTGATTACAAAGAGCAGAAACCATGATTCCTTTTTCAAAACTGATTAACATGAGCCGAGTCAGTTAACATATGTCAGGAGGCACTCCGGACGCCCCCACGTACGTGGGAGATGAGATGAGGAAGAGCACCTATGTTATTCAAAACAACTACTAGTGTTACTTGTACAGTGTAAACCAACCACTTTAAACCACAATGGGACATTCGTTTTTAAAAAAGCGCAGAACACTGACATTCTGAGGTGTCACAAGATGTCGGAGATGGGAAAAGCCAAAGCTGGTTTCATTTTTCCTCTTCTTCGGTGAGTTGAGTGTGAGGGTCGAGGAAGTAGTGCAACACTAGGGTGGGGAAGGCTGGAGGCCTTTGCTTCTGTGTGTCCCACATCTGCAGTCCCCTTTCCAGAGCACAGGCCGTGAGGTGAAGCTCTCCAGACTCATTTGCAGGCCTTGGGACTCAGCATTTGCACACAGACAAAGGCGTTTCTACAGTAGCTCAGAGCCAGTGTTTGCATTCCAGCGGACTTGCTCTCTGTAGCTTAGTAAAAAAACTCAAGAACAACATTCCTATGTTCTTTCTAAGGAGGAAGAAAAAGACTCCTGTTTGGATGCATTCCACATTTGGGGTCTGGGTATGGAAGTTGTGACAAAGAATCTTTCCCATCACAAATACCCTGGTGGGAAAGCTTAGAAAAGTTAAAACTGCAGTTGTAAGTTCCTCTTTCCCCTCCTTCAGCAAAGCAGCACGATGCACACATGATCGCGTGGTTTTGGAAGGCAGAAGATGGCTACTGTAGTTTCAAGTATAACCACCCCCTTGCAAAGGGGTTTGAGGTCACTGCAGATGGATTCAGGCAAGCCAGAAACTCAAACATATTGACTTCTTTAATTTATGAAGTGATAGTAAAACCTTTTCTTACAGCTTTGTGTAGTTATTATAATTTTTACTTTTAGAAAGAGATATTCTCATTTATTACAAACAGTAGAAGGAGGATATTTTTTTTGGAGCTTAACATATGCCAAGACTTGGTCTAATTGGATTGCGACTTTCTTTTCAATCCTCCCTTTAAATAATAAAGTTTTTTAAATTTTCTGGGCTCAGGGCTCTCTGATCATTGGTAAGGCTCAGATATAACAACCAAAAGAACATAGGTCCTTCCTAATCTCAGTGCCGTTCCTTTTGCCACTACAGGAAGACTCCAGATGGTGGTAGGACATTCTTTTGTAGATAATCCAGTTTCAAGCTGTTTCAGTCTAGTTCAGCTTTTCACGTTGGATCTGGTAGTAACATGCCTGGAAAAAAAGTCCAAAACACTTTTAAATTTACTTGTAAAGAAATGAAAACCAAAACAAAACCAAAAACCAAACCAAAACCAAAACACGGGATTAAAATAAAATTTATTAAAAGGACAGTCCATTACATTGAGCTGCTATCATTTTCCCTTATTCCCTGCCATCACCCTATCCATGTATTCAAAAGGTATTTGCTATTCACTAATCTTCTACATAGAGAAGTCATTAATGATAGATTTATGTCATGTGACAGCCAGATTTCAGGATGACCAGATCATTAAATAAAGATCTATGCTCACCTTCAAAGTAGTGAACATTATACCCTGTTCCCCATGCTGAAGATAGGGGTCCATCAGATCCTCGATGAGGTGTACTTCAGAGCCCAAATTCCTAATCCTGTCCCAAAGAGAAAAAGAAGCTGAATGACTTCCACCGACACGCCCATTTCCCTCCTGAATCTGAGGGAAACAGAAGAACAATTCAGTAAGAAGCTCGCAGCACAGTGGAGTGGGCTGATGAAAGGCCATTTCCCTAGTGTGGGAGCACGTTCACACCATAGGGCCAGAAAAAGCGTAACATTCCACAGCTTGGTGCTTGCTGGGCTGTTCTGCACCACCAGGCAGCTCTGAGTAGGACAACAGCAAGGGTTTTGGGGACTTTGGTTTCTACACCTCACACTGTAGAATATGCAACCAATATCCCTGAGTAACCTGTGTACAAATTATTACATGGGAACCCACTTTGCTGTGTAAACTCTCACCCTGAGCACACCAAATGTGTAAACATTTTCAAAGTGAGTTACTATTATTAACTCACTTACACTCATTGCCGTTGAGCAGGAACATAGTTGACCCTGCAGAGGTTGTGAGTTGCACGGGAAGAGAGGGCCCACCTTTCTGCCCAGTTGCTGCTGCTGGTGGATTTGAACAGCCAGAAAGGTGCTGTGTTTGGGTTAGCAGTGCAGCTAGCTCCCTACGGACTGCAAAGTCAAATCTCTCCTCACTAAACATCAAAGAGTATAAAAATAACAAAAGAAGATGAAACAAATACCTGGCCCGTAGCACCACATAAAGGAAAACTGGAAACAGGTCATCCATAGACCATAGGAAGTCTTCTTGGAGTGTTGCCAGGACACTCTGAGAGATCTCCTCAAATGTCTGCTGGATGACCTTCAGTTTATCAGATGGGGTGAAGGTTGTGCTGTTACAAGAGAATGATAACAAAGTATCTTATGATTTTCTTAATAAGGCCATTTGAGCTTTTAAAAATAATACTCTCTTCTAGAGTTCATATGCCTTAATTGGGACACATCACATATAATGAGACCCTGGGAAGGACAATTTTCATAATCTATAGTTGAGAAGTCTCCACTTTCTTAGGTCCACATAGAAGAATTCCCCAGACCATATATTCCTCTTCTCTTATCCCTATATAGCACCTTATTTTCCTAATGTATGCTCTTCTTTGGACCAAGGCACTTGGTTAATTTTTATTTGGCTAAAAAGAAGAGACCATAGCTGACATCCAAGCAGATATATGCACACCCATGTTTATTGCAGCTTTGTTCACAATAGCAAGGAGTTGGAAACAACCTAAGTGCCCATCAACAAACGAATGGCAGAGAAGCTGTGGTATATTCGCACAATGGAATACTATGCTGCATTAAAAAACAAGGAACTCATGCAATATTATTCAAAATGGTTGACTCTGGAGAACATTATGCTGAGTGAAATATCCCAGTCACAAAAGGATAAATATTACATGATGCCACTGTTGTAGAATGGGACTGTCCTTGGGGTTGGGGAGAGACTGAGTAAGATGGGTTCAATAATGTATACTGCACTGAAACAGAGGAGGGAGAAAACTGTTTAAAAGAGATATATAACTAGGTATTTCTGTCATCACAGGAGACTAGAGCGAGGGCTACATGGTGGAGGGGACCTGGGGGAGGGTTTGTAAAACAATGAAAGAATCCTTTCTTTTACTTTTCCATAATTTTTGGACTCATGTACTTATAACTTGTTAGTCAAATTTGTGTCTTCTAGGTTGCAACACCCCCATGATACATCTTCAAGGATATGAACATGTACGGCCAAGCACAATCAATAAGAGTGCATCTAAATTCCAAAATCAATCTCCATAATAGTCTATGTGTTTCCTACTGCCAAAGGGGCCCTTTAGAGTAGTGAGAGAAGATCTTCACCCTGAAACCCACAGCGTCCCTTTTCAGCAGGAAGTAGCTAAGAGAATACGCCATCCCCTTTTCCTTATGACTCAAGGTGAAGTCTCTCTCAGGGAGGAGTGATAGGGAATGGCAAAGGACACACTGACAAAGAAGATTAATCAGAACTGGCTTTGACAAACACTGTGGCATTTGGACAAGAACAAACTGGGAGGAGGGTAGAGAGAATAGTGCAACAATGAATGAATGGAAACCCAAAATCTCTGTAAATGTTTATGAAAATTAATAAAATATAATTATAGAAAAAAAAATAAAAAGTGCTTATACAGACAAGTGTCTGGGAAAGTGTACTATCTATCGCTTTGGAAAAAATACCAAGGCCTCTTAGTATAAAATATAATTCAAATGAAGATTCCTTCTGATTTCCAGATTGACATCATCTTAGGGAGAAGGAAAACTCTAGCGCTTAAGTCCTCAGGAACAGATTAACCATTGTTTTTATTTATGTAATTATTCAACAAGTAAGAGATCACCTGATCTGCTGTAGACATTCTACTGCCGAGGCAAAGCAAGCATCTTTTGTGGTTGGTAAAACCTGTTAAATAAACAAGAAAAGAAATTATTCCAATGCCAGATGGCAAGTCTTTGGTGACTAAGTGATGCTAACACGTGCTCAGGACCCCAGATTAGACCCATTGCGAATTTTTTTTTTTGCTATCTCGAATCCCCCACACCAAAGTAAATGAAATTCCATCATACCTTTTTACTCTCTCCAAGGATTGACAATGTCACAGGCCAAAACTTCCTACAATGGAATCCATAAATTGTTAGTATTAGCTGTTATTTATGGAAGATAAAGACCTATAAAAACAGATTAGCTTTCCACTAAATATAACTATACATAAATCCCTTTAAAAACACCTGACAGCTACACTGGCTCCTCAATGTCTACTAAAAAGGACTATTCCACAGACTGGCTATATTTTCAAAATGTTCTAGAAGTTCTTTGAGCATTTCTAGTCTAGCTTTAAGGGATGTGTCACTATTTAAACATATTATAGATGTTCCCAAACACTAGCGAGTATCTTTCTTTTACTTAGTTTTACCTCATTTTTACTTTTATTTCACTTAAAAAATTATTTCCAATTTTAGTATACCCATTTCCTTTTTTAAAAAGTAGCACAGATAAATAATCATTGCATGGAAATTAGTTTCATCACAGAACAAAAAAGAAACCTAATCACTTAGTACTTTCCTGAAATAATAATAAACAATGCCCCACACATAAAAATAATTCTAAAATTTTCTAGTAAGAAATGGCTGGTGTGGAGGTAAGAAAGAGAAAGAACAAAAATGCCAAAGATTTAATACAATTATGTTTTCTGAGGAATGTGAATATAAAATATACATTTTGCTTTAAAGAGCCATAAAACACCAAACAGGATAACTCATATTCAAATCCACACACAAACATGACTAAAAACAACTTCCAAAAGAGCAAGTTGCATACTCATCTCTATAGATTTTCAAAAATAATTACTAAGGATCACTGCTTTACATATTAAGACTAATAGCCAAATAAACAAGCTGGAAGCTATGTATGCCATCAGATCCCAGTACCAAGTTCCTGGTAATGATGTTTGCCTTTTAAGTGAAAACCATTTGGGTTTGCCTCATAACTACTGTATTTACCTCTGAACCCCAAGAAATCCCAGAAGAGCAGTATCTGGCTGCTTATTGAGTCGCAAAACACATTCCCAGTAAACGTCTTCCTCACGATCATTGTCCAAGGCATAAAGCATAAAGAGTGGTGGGTAGAGCCGAGGTAGCAACACAGGAAGCAATAATCCAGAACTTGTTACCACATAACTACAAAGTATTGCAGTGGAAGGGGAGAAGCAGAGATGTTAAAATTTGATATAGAATCAATGGTTGTCAAAGATTTTGGCTAAAAATCAAAAGGATTTTGAGCACAACAGATACAATACTGTTCGACCCTTTCAATATGGAGGGCACATGAGAGTCTTACCTAGGATCCCAGATTGGACCCAGTGTGAATTCTCTTTTAGTCCAAACCTAACTGAAAACCACGGCTTATTTCTCTGAGGTTACAAGAGTCAGCACAATGGTACTTTACTCAGCAGCCCTTATGCCTAGTCATTTGTGACTACATGACTACACTTCCCATAAAAAATGAGATGGGAAAAGTAACGTCACAGATCATTTCACTTTACAAATGAGAAACTGAGAGCTGAAGAAAACAACTTTTTCCTGCGACTTCTTGGATAAGACCATCCTGGTCTCTACTTTCTTTCTCCATTATTCCCACCCACATCCATTTACCCTGGCTCTGGGGATTCCGATCTGGAGTCTGACTTCCCCGTGCAAAAGGATTTCCTTTCAGTTGGCAAAGGAGTTGAGAGAGGAATTGTGCTGCCCTCTTCAGGAAGCTCAGGAAATAAGAACCTAAGGAGAAAGAATATAATTACAGGGATGGTGACCTCTCTCACTATTACAGAGCAAGAACCGACAGACAGCTAACCCTCCAGTGGGTTCTGGAGGCTGTAGATACCACAAGAGGTGACTGTCCATCTTTCTCCCTCAGAGTGGCTGGTGGGCTCAAACCCCCAGAAAATCAAAGCCTTTAGATTAGTTAGCAGCACAGCTCTCTAGGGACTTACCCTCAGGGTTCACTTCAAATACCTCTAGAATAGGAAAAGCGAATAAAGATGTATTTTTTTTTCTTTTTATTATTTTGTGCGTGTACTGTCAAATCGGATCTGACTGGTACAGGAGGAGATTGCCCCTCCTTCTCTGGCAGAGCATCTGGCGGATTTGAACCGCATACCTCTGGGATTGTAGTGCACCTTCTTGCCACTATGCCACCAGAGTGCCCTTAAAGATGTATTTCTGAGGCTTAATCTATTTAAGGACTTAAGAAATTTTATTTTTATGTGAATTAAATACTTAAGTTCCCTGGAATTCTTAAGTTTCTGTGAGAAACATCTTAAGAGTATAGCTAATGAACAATATCACTTAAAAAAAAACCCCTTCATTTGCTTTCTGTTTTTCCTAATGGTAAATCTCACCTGAGATTTACCATCTGTATTAAGTCTTCAATGAAGGACTAGAAAGTAAACACATGCTAATGGAAACCACTTAAATATTCAACATTAAGGGGAAAAGGTTAAATAGATTACAAAGACTCAATGTAAAACTGAGTTTTTAAATAAAAACTCAAAATGCTGAAAATTAATTCTTAAAGTGCTAAGCTCTGAGTTTTGCCCATTTTTATCTTTGATCTTTGAAAGGAAAATGTTGTTCTATCCTGGAAAGAAGTATTCTATATTTTCTCCCCTAAGTCTGAATTCTGGGGTCCCAGGCACCCTGTTGCCCTTATAATAGAGAGCTGTGGCTGCCAAACAGAGGCTGAAAGGCTTCTGTCAGTTAAAATTTTTTTTCCTCGTGCATACTTACTACTCTACTTTTGACTCTGTTCCTAATGATTTCATAGTTGAAGGGAGATAAAATCCACAAGGAGCTTTGGTGCCTTAGTCCATAAAGTGTTGTGCTGTTAATAAAAAAGCCGTGTTTCTCTGAAGGTTCAAATTCACCAGCGTCACAAGGCAGCAACAGGGGCAATCTCCTTCCTTTAGGGTTACAGCCTAGGAAACCCAGTGCACACCACCATGAGTTGGGATGGGAATTGGAATGGGCTCAATGGCTACTGACTTTGGTTTGACAGTTGATAATATGAGAGCTAAATTACTCCCAGATCAGAGATCTTTTTTTGTATATCCCATTGCATGCTCAAAACTCAAAAAATTTCCAAATGCATTCATCAGATTTGAGGCTGTACACATAATGACGTTTTCCAGCACAAATAACCAAAGTATGTCTCATAATCTCAATGCTGCATTTACTTACTGGCTTAAATGCAGTAAAAGATCAGGTTGCTTGAGTCTTATAAGCTCTGACATTTCTTGCTGCCTGAAATCCTCTCTCCAAAGGTGCTTATTATTTTGATTTCTCAACTCCTTCAAAGTTTCTACTTGCACATTGCTTTACTAGGTCTGCTAACACTATTTAAAAGGGCACCAGCCCATCTCCAGCTCCACTCTCTTCTTTTCCCCTAAGCACTTACTACCATCTGACATAATGTATTTTATTATCTGTCTGCTGTCTTAAGTCTGGATGCAAGCTCCATGAGAGCACAAAGCACAGTTTATTTTTTGGTTTTTACACGTATATCCCTCCAGGACGTAGACCGGGGGCTAATTCATAGGACATAATAAGTATTTCTTAAATAAATAAGTGAATAATGTTCTTGTCAAAGGAAAGGATATAAATATTCATGGACAAAACTTCGGATTGAACTTTGTCTAGTCTGTAGTTAGGTTTTAGAGACATGATTTTTAAAATTAAATCTAAGCAACACAACTACAGTGTTTCACACAGAATTAGAGTTTTTAAAAATGTGTATTTCAGTTTTCTGTTATCATTAAGGGTGGTCTGGTGGAAAAGTCTTAGGGAGTTTTTAACTCAAATGATGGGCCTCTCTGGTGGTTTGAATCCTCTGAAGGTTTCATGGGAGAAAGAAGAGCAATTTCCTCCCAGGTAACTCAGACTATCAAAAAATGCTGGCGGGACCTCTCCTACATCCTTCTGGGAAGCACTTTATAATAAATCTATCTTAACTTTTTAACAACAACCAAAAAAAACCCTGCTGGAGGGTGTGCTATGAGTTGGTGTCCACTTTATGGCAAGGAACTTGAGCTTTGAGTTTGTCATTAATAAGCAAGAAAAAAAAATAAGCACAGGTGATCATCAAGGTTCATCTTTTTTATATCCACGAAATAAAGAAAAAGAGAATTTTACTAATCTACTTTAGGACCTGTGACATGAAGCTGTTTTCTTGATGAGTAATTTCTGTGGTAAAGTGGAAAATTCACCATTGCTTACAAAACTGCAAACTCTAAATTCAGGGTGAGGATGACCAAGGATTAGTATAAACCAGTAATCCTTGCAGTTTGCAGAGTTCAAGTAAAGCATCTCTCACCTCACCAGCTGGAAAATTCGCTTAAGATAGGACTTGATCTCCTTTACAGCCTCCTGCAATAATCGGCGGTTGGCTCCAACACCCACGTACGTCATTCTATACACGGCAACCAGCGTCTCCACAAGTCCACCCAGTGGGTGGAGGGGGGTGTCACACGCCTGAGCAGACAGAATCAATGCATTGGTCAATTCATGCTGATGGCAGAAATATTGATCAATCAGCTACAATTTCATAAATGTTAATTTTTAAAATGTTCTCAGATATAGTCTAAGCTATCCCCTTCAAGTACTGGATATAGCAAAATTCTATTCAGTAGAAGTTCATCATCTTTTTAATCAAAGCTTCTCTCTAACATCTTGGGAACATAGTTTTGAAAGAAATGAGGCAGACCACCATTAAAATAAAGGTTCTAATATACTTTTCCAAGTTATGCCCGAAGCAAGGAAATCTAAGGATAGCTACCTGGCCAAGAGATTGGAAGAGATCCATATTTGTTCGCAAAAGGTGATCCAAAAAAATGTGGAAATTTCTGAATAGTTATGAGAATAAAGCATGCAAGTAAATCTTGCTAAACTTATTCAGAACATCTAAACCTGTACATTGACAGAACTTGCAGAAATTCAGGCTGGATACAGAGGAAGCTATAGCACCAAGGGATATAAATGCTGATGTCAGGTGGATCTTGGCTGAGAGCAGTGAATACCAGAAGGATGTGTATTTGTGTTTTTTTGATTACGCAAAGACTTTTGACTGTGTGGATCATAACAAGTTATGGATGACACTGAGAAAAATAGGAATTCCTGAACACTCAATTGTGCTCATCAAAACCTGTACCTAGAACAAGAAGTTGTCCAGACAGAACAAGGGAACACTGCATTGTTTAAAACCAGGCAAGCTGTGTCAGGGCTATTTCCTTTCTATTGATTTCTATTTAATTTGTATGCAGACGAATCATTCAAGAAGCTGGACTAAATGAAGAAAAAGATGGCATCAGGATTCCAGGAAAACTCATCAACAATCGGTGTTTTGCAGATGACATAACCTTTTTGACTACAAGTGAGGAGGACTTGAGACGCTTGCTGCAGAGTATCAAAGACTACAGAATTCAATGTGAAGTTCATCTCAACATCAAGAAAACAAAAATTCTCACCACTGGGTCAATAGACAACATCATGACAGGTGAAGAGATAGAAATTATCAATGATTTCATCTTGCTTAAATCCATAACCAATACCCTTGGCACCAGCATCCAGGAAATTAAAAGATATATTATTACACTGGGAAAATTTGCTGTTAGGGACCACTTCAAGGTGCTGAAGAGCAATGATGTCAGTTTGAAGATTAAGGTACACCTGATCCAAACCATAATCTTTTCAATTACTTGCTATGCAGCTGAAAGCTGGACAATGAATGAGAACAAAAGAAGAACTGACGTCTTTGAGTTGTGGTGTTGGAGAAGAGTACTGAATATCCCATGGACTGCCAAAAGAACAAACAAATACATCTTGGAAAAGGTACAGTAAGGATAATGAAATTTAATCTCATACACTTTGGACTTGTTAGGAGGGGCCTGATTTTGGAAAAGGACGTCATGCTTTGAAAGGTAGAGGGGTCAGTGTAGGAGGACCCTCAGTGGGATGGATTGATAGTGACTGTAACGATGGGCTCACGTATGCCAGAGATGGTGAGGACAGCACAGCATAGGGAAGAGTTCAGATCCACTGTTCACAGGGTTGCTAGGATTGTATTCAAGTCAAAGGATTTTACAACAACAAAAATATGTTTTAAACAACAACAAAATAAAGCACTGCCTTGGAGAAAAGGGACTACAAATTATGCTCTGAGACAGCCATTCTTCAACCTTGAAGCCTCATAAGGCCTTTAACTGAAGTCTTATACAATGCATGGCACACTTTAAATAGTAACTGGTCTTACAGAGTTGGAGAAGCACAGAGAGGATGTTCAGCCAGGGCAATATGCTTTAACAGACAATTTGCAGTTTACTAAAGAAGACTTTAAACACTGACCTTAGTTCTTAGGAACCTTCCTGAACACCTTACAAAACTTAAATCTTTAGGCAGAATGAGCTTTCATAGATTGAGAATAAACAAAATACATAGCAGAAAAGCCACAATTAGAGTGGTCATCATTTTTATGGCCACAGACTATCTCGAGCTCCAGTGGAATTCCTGGGAGGTTCAAATTGCTGGTTTTTGGGTAGCAGTGAAATGCTTAATCACTGTACCACCAGGAGTGCAAAGGTAATAGGAAAGTATGAAGTAACTTGAATGAAATGTGTGGTACTTGTATTACCAATTCACAGGGGACAGTGAATTTTTAATTTTGTTTACCTTTATTAAGTATTTCTTGATGTCATCATATTTCTCCACAGAGAAGGCACCAACATGGTGGGGAATGAATTCCAAACTCTCCAGAGTTTGAGTCTGTGAACGACTTAGTATCTCTGGGCTATAAAAAGGAAAAGAACGCCTATGTTTTTCATATGAATAAATAAGATGTGTAAATGTGTACATAAAACAGTTAGCAACTAAGTAGGGAATTAAACACTGAACACAAGTGAGCTTATAAATGGTAACTGGCTTATGTAATATTCATTTAAAATGTTACTTAATGGTGCAACCACTGTGGAAGGTGGTATGGCGCTTTCTCAAAAAGTTGCAAATAGAGATACCATTTGACCCAGAAATTCCACTACTGGGAATATACCCCAAAGAGATCATAACTGACATCCAAGCAGATATATGCACACCCATGTTTATGGCAGCTTTGTTCACAATAGCAAGGAGTTGGAAACAACCTAAGTGCTCATCAACAAACAAATGGATAGAGAAGCTGTGGTCTAGTCACACAATGGAATACTATGCTGCATTGAAAAACAAGGAACTCATGCAATATTATTCAAAATGGGTGACCCTGGAGGACATTATGCTGAGTGAATATCTCAGTCACAAAAGGACAAATAGCGCATGGTGCGACTGCTGTAAAACAGGACTGACCTTGGGGCTGGGGGGAGACTGGGAAAGATGGGTTCAATAATGTATACTGCACTGAAACAGATGAGGGAGAAAACTGTTTAAAAGGGATATATGATTAGGTATTTTTGTCATGACAGGAGTCCAGAGTGAAGGCTGCATAGTGGAGTGGACCTGGGGGGAGGGCTTGTAAAACAATGAAAGAATTTTTCTTTTACTTTTCCAAGAGGGTAGTGTACTGGGGTGGGGGGCGGTTGGAAGGGGAGAAAAGTGCAACAACGAATGAATGGAAATCTAAAGTCTCTGTAAATTTTCATTGAAATTAATAATAATTTTTTTAAAAAATAAAATGTTACTTAATACCAACTATGAGCTCTGGTGACCTAGGAACTGCGATGCCAACATGAATGCATACGGTTCGAATCCACCAACTGTTCTATGGGAGGATGGATAATCTCCTCCCATGAGATTTGCTGCCTCTGAAAATGTGCAAGATGGTCAGCTATAGGTTGATTCAAACATCAAAGGTACATAACAGCAAAAAAAAAAACAAAAACCACCAAGTAATAAAGATTTTACTCCACTCTAAACTACAATGCTGGGAAATACTACAAAGAAAATTGATCATATTTAGTGAAGAAGGGAAAAAACATAGTAAGAGAGAGAGAGAGGAATTTAGGAACAAGAAGATAAAAACAAAGCAAGGGGCACAAAGAAGAAATGAAAATAAGCACAAAAAGCAAGGACAGAAATGAGGACACTCCAACGGGTGGTAAGGTATGCAGATGTGAGTTAAAGTGAAACTTTGGGTGAAAAGGCTAAGACAAGACATGTAAAATAAGTGTTTCATAATGCCACCCTATCACGATATTACAACCAGCAAGAAATTAGAGATAATTTACCATCGTTATTATTATATTTTTCTACACAAAAAAATCAGACATTGGTGGTAGCAACATAATTCTATATATAAATTCATTTCCTCTCATTTCATACTATAATCAAGTTGGAGTACCAAATGAGAAGAGCCTAACTTCTTTCCACATTTTAAAAAACCAAGTCTCTCTCTCTCACACACACACACACACACACAATCTCACTCTTCCTTTCGCTGTCTCTCTCTCTCACAGCCCCTCACCCAAAATAAACAATAAAAAGATGCTAAAGAAGTACCTGCCATCTGCAAATGAAATAAAAGAGACTTTAAAAATCAAGTGTATACAGTCTCACATATACAAACCAAAGTGAGCTCTTTTGATATTTTTCCCCTTGGCTCTGTCTGCACCACTTCCAGGTAATGTTGAGTTCAGGCCAAGGGATATTACAGGGGGGAAAAAACTCCACTACGGTTTCAACAATGCTGAGTTCTGGTGGTCTTCCCCAATTCATTTGCTGATATTTATTGCTGATATTTACTTCTGAGCTCACTAATTGTTACATAAACATTCAGTGAAAGTTGAGTTCAGGAGAAGACTAAGTATTCTGTCCAAGTTTTACAGTTGAGTTCAGTTAAAACAAATACATCAAGGTCCCCGTGACAACTACATGATTCCAGTGATTCACCAGAAAGCCATCAGAGATATTTCACTGCATCTTACTTAGAAAAGAAAAATACATTAACTTTAAAGTTATGTTTTAAATTAAATGTGAAGGAAGTGTGATTACTCATTGGCTTTATATTTTATCTCCCTAACATGCTCCTCCCCACTCTGACCAGGCATTCACTCACCTATCTCTGTGTTGGCGTCGATTGGTCGTCAGGGCCACAGCAATATTATCCCACGCTTTCCAAACTTCCCCTTGGCTGGGGCTCTCACAGCCCAGTTGGCGCCAACATTCATCAAACACTGCTTTCCACTTCTCATCAGCCGAAACTGCCAGGTTTCCTAGTTTCCTGCTAATAAAGCCATGTTAACCTTTAATAATCACTTCTTTTGTATATAAAAAAAAAAAACAACTTATCTGAAAGAGTAGAAACTTTCTAATATAAATGGGAATGATCTGTGACAAAAACTGGCTCATTGGTGGTTCCACTACAAAAATACTAAGTGACAATTTTAAAGGGATAGTTTTGACTACTCATTGTTTAATAAACACAAAAGTGTGTACATTGTTAAATACAGAGCATAACAGAATTGTCTTACTAAGCTAAAGCACAACAGAATCGATTCTTCTGCTATCTACACTTCCACAGAATTGATTCTGTAAAAATTGATTCCTGCTAAAATAAGAATGTTCTGTGCTTTGTACCTCTCACAATGAGAACTGTGAAATGCATTACCTAATGGGTTCTAAAAATACTCTAAAAATAAGCATAGTATAGAAAATATATCAAGCTCACATCAGAACAAAGAAACGGAAATACTATCAAAATAAAAAAAGTTGGAATAAATCAAGGGAAATTCACATATATCAGAAACACAGAGGAAGGAAACTATATACTTCGATTGTATCTTTTCCCCCCTCTAACATTTTATAGATTTTATTGTTCAATATGGATTGATATTTATCCTTTAAATAAGTTTTCACAGAGGTTCCATTTAAGCATCCTCTATTTCAGTCACCTGCACTATTAACAAGGTAATCATTCTTATGGTACTTTCATGTCAAACATCTAAGCTCTAAGATTTAGAGTCTATACAAGACTATATGTTTATCTACAGGGGTGTAAGTTGAACAAATCAAAGAGGTTATACGTGGTTTTATTAAAAAAAATTAAAACTTGTTCATATATTTAAAATATTTACCATCTTTGATAACTACAAGGCAACACAAAATAGTAAATAATTAATTCAGAATAACATTAGTTACTCACAAAACTTTGGGTCTGTCTTTGTCACTCTCATACAGACTAGGTTTGAAGTAGGTTCCAGTGATTTTTATCCCAGATCCCCATTCTCCATTAAAAAAACCTTCAATGTAGTCTCCATTTGGCATAGTCAGTGTTCCCTAAGAAAAGTTAGAGGGGAAAGTGCAATTAGAGGAAAGATTTTCAATACTACGTCTAACAACATATTTAATGATGAAAGACTAAATGTTCTTTTCCTAAGAGTAGGAATGTGATAAGGAGGTCTGCTTTTACTACTTCTGGTCAAAATAAAAAAAAAAATTCTATTGGAGAGTCAAGTTAATTCAACTAGGCAGGAAAAAAGAACAATTAAAGACTAAAAGGCTATTATGGTCTTTTTTATTTACTGTTTACTAGTTCACATTCTTTTAAGAAATTGCATATGCAAGCATGTGCAAAAATTTCTAAGAAAACGAGTCATGGGTCAAAGAATTAATTGTAAGTACTAGAAAATATTTTGAGCTAAAAGAAAGCAAACACATACCAAATTTTACAGGATCTGCTAAAGCAGTGTTTGAAGAGAAATTTACAGTGGTAAGCACTTATATTAAAACAGAAATAAAGAGGTCAAGTCAGCAATCTAAGTTCTCAGTTTACAAAACTAGAAAAAAGGAGCAAAGTAAATTCAAAGAATGAATGAAGTAGGAAACAACATTAAAGTAGAAACCAATGAAACGGAAAACATACACAAAAAGAGAAAAAATCAATTAAGCCAAATGTTTGCAGAAAATCAATAGGATCAATGAACATTTGGCTAAACTGAGAAAGACAATGAACAAGCCACCCAAATAAATAATGAAATAGAGGATATTATTACCAATCTTTCAGAAATTAAAAAGAATCCTTGGAGACCAATTTTATGTTAACAAATTAGATAATTTAAATAAAAAAACAGGAAAAAATTATTCAAACCCTCTCAAGAAGAAATAGAAAATCTAAATAGATCTATTAGCACAAAAATCAATTAGAAAGTGAAAATTTTCTCACAAACACAAAAACGTCCAGGTCCACCTGGCTTCACTAGTAATTTCTCCCAACATTTATAAATAACAAGGCTTCATAAATTTTTTTCAGAAAACAGGAGGAAACACTTGTCAACTCATTCTATGAAGCCAGTAGTACCTTGACTCCAATGAAAGACAAAAACACACATTGGAGAAAGAAAAGCAACGGTCAATATCCTTTCCAAATACAGATCCTCAACATTCAATCCTACAATATGGAAAATGGATTGCATCATAACTAAGTGCAATGTAGCCCTGGAAAGCAGGGCTGGTGGCTAAATACATGAGGTTAACAAAATAAAGGATGAAAACAAAGACGGTCTTCATAACTTTGAATTAACTTTTTCAGATATGACATAAAAAAATGATTTCTAGGAAAAGCTGATAAACCGTATGATTTATAAACTTGCACTCACGTTAAAAAAAAAAAAGAAAAGAAAAAACAAAAGCCAAAATCACCAAAAAAACCTTCCGTGTTTCAAAGGATACCATCAAGAAAGTGAAAAGCAAGCCACAGATCAGAGAAAAATATTTGTAAATCATCTATCTGATAAAGGACTTGCTCTGGTGGCCTAGTGAGTAAGGAGTTGTGCTGCCAACTCAAAGGTAAGAGGTTCGAATGAACCAGCTGTTATGAGGGAGAAAGACAGACAATCTCCTCCTGTGAGATTGACAGCCTCTGAAAATATGCTGAAGGGTCAGTTTTAAGTCGGTTCTGACTTGACAGCACATACCCACAACATGGAGAATATATAAAGAACCCTTGCAACTCAGTATGACTTGCTATATGCCATCAAGTTGAAATCAACTCATGGCGGACCATCCAGCAGGTTTTCGGTGACTCTAAAACACACAGGAGACTGCTTTTCTTTGTCTTACATGCTGATGCAAAAAGTTGTATTCAAATATTCATATAGCAGCATTATTCAAACCAGTAAAAAAAGTGGGAAAAAAACCAATGTTAAACACATGTTAAATTTTATGGCATGTAAATTAGCTTTTTCTATAAAGTCAAGGAAACAATGTGAAAGGTTATACTAGACAAATAAAGTTAGTGTCTAACCTTTCCATTAAGAGTCCAATCATCTGAAAACTCTCCCTCATAGATAGTATCATCTTCAGAAAGTAAGACACCATTTCCCTGTTAGGAAGAAATAAAACAAAAATCACAACACAAAAAATATCTTTTGCGTATACAAAGCCAAACCCCTCAAAAACTTAAGCAATCTTAAAAGACAAGACAAATAGTGCTAAGAAGTACAGAATATTAATTATAATTAAAAATAAATAAGGACACGGTTTATTTTTTTTTAGTCAATAGTAACACTATAGAAATATTCCACTCACCATCATCTTGTTAAGGTTAAAGTTGCCTTCATAGTATAATCCAAACTGAGTAACTACCACACCATTTCCTTGACATACATCATCTTGCCACATTCCCATATACTTTTCTCCCCTGTGTGAAAATTTAAAAAAATTAAAAAAAAAAATTCATAATGGTAGAGAGTCTGGTAGGAAAAGGGAAGACTATCACGTGGGAGAGCCAAGCACTCGTGGCAAGGTTAAGTGTCAGTTAATTCTCTCTTCTCAAACACAGGTCAAGATAACAGAGATCAACTCAAAACATGGTCCTCTAGAGTATATACTGTATCTACCACGTCAGTAACATTAAAATACATAATTGAACAATGCAGATTTTTTACTCAAAAGAATTCTAATAAAAATTAATAGGCAGAATCAAATTGATGCCAAATTTTCTCTTCTTTAAAATAGAACTACTGGTGAGGGAAGGAGAAAAAGTAAAAAAAAAATGAATAAATTATAACCCATCCTATCTGGAAACTCTCACTAAAATCACGACAAAAAAGAATATCAAATCAGTAGGACAAAAAGAAATGTTAGAAAAAAAATGTGTGAGGTATAGTAAGAAAAAAAAGAGAGAAAAATGAGGTTTACCATAAAAAAGGCTCATTTTCAACATTGTTCTCAATGGAGA